TAAAATTATTGATGCTTGTGTTGAAAGAAGGGAGAAATTACGCCCCCCCCCCCAGATGAGCTGCCATTTCGATAAACAAACAATTCCAGGATATCGCATTTAAAGGGTATCCTGATACAAATTCAACTGCAATTAATATTGCATATTTTGTTATCGCTTATTTGAAGAAAACGAAAGATCAAATGGCGTACTTAGTTTCAGAAAGTATTCATTAATACACTCACTGGTTATTTCAAATCGACCAATCACACTTGTAGTATACGGACATGTAGTCCCCAGGGGCCCACCTACCAAGAGGAGTGCCTTAAAGGCTAATTTCCCTCCCCATGCATATCAGTGGGCATCCGTAGGGTAAGTCCACCCCCTGATGTCAACATCTTTACTTCTGTTACATTCCCAACAGATAAGACCTTGTGTGAGTCACGGCGGGAAGTTTTTGCATGTTCCTGGATGTAGATGAATGATTAAAACAAATCAAAACAACTAAAAACACCATAAGAAGCCAGGGAGAAAAGAGGGGATAGGCTAGCACAAGAAAAGTAAAAGACGCAGGATGAGGGTAAATGAAAGGAGAAACTGTAGTAGAAGACGTAAGAAAGAAAGAAGGGCAATTAGGAACCACAGGGCTGCATTTGATACATGATGTATATACAAGTGCAATCTTGCACGTTACAGCTCTATCTTTGATGAATACCGTCACTTAGCTTTTCCGTCCTTTTAAGTTCCTTAGCTGGAGCTGCCGGCTAGTTTGGCATAATCTTCATGTAAATGTGTAAAATGCGAGAGGAGGAGAGAAACGCCCCGTGGTGCAGTAGAACAACGAATATTTATTTTCGAAGCGGTGCAAAAGGGCCGCGGGGAGGCCGCGGCGTCACCCTCGTGGCGCTTAAAGGTATCTTGTAAACAATGAAATAGAATCAAACAGTAAATGTAAACATCAAAATTCAATAGGATATATATTACATTAAAAAGGGAATAAAAAGGATAAATAAAATCGTACATCAACAAATACAGAGCTGACAGTCAGAAAGCGCAATTCTAACAAGGGAGATACGCATGCGCGCAACCGCCCGCACACGCACACACGTGTATACACGCACACACTGTACACACGCACACACGTGTACACGCACACGCAACGCACACACGTGTACACACGCACACACCCACGCACGCACGTACGCACATACACATGCTCGCGCGCGCGCAACGAGCGAGCATCATTTAAGGGGGAGGGGAGGTGGTGCCGAGAACAGCGTCACGTTACACACTCTGTTACAAACTACCCAGAGTCTAAGCCTCATTCGTAAAAATACTATTCATGCTGTTTACTTCGATTAGTTGTCAGATATATGTAAGTTGGACTCAGCAAGTATGATGAAATATAATTCCGCAGTTGTATATATATACATATATATTGAATAGATAGACAGATAGACATATGCATGTCCTCTACATTTGTGGACGGAGCCTTGGACGGGGACTGAAGGGGAGCAGAGGACAACAAGGCCGACGCGGCCGAAGTAATTATCCGGCCGCTGATTGGCCCATCAGCCCATTGGCTGGGGGGGGGGGGGGCACCGGAATGTTCGCCTAATTAACAGCTGAGCGTCAGAGCGACGGGATCGTGGGGGAAGTGGTCGAGGGATTTTTCCCTCTTAATTCCTTATCGTTTTTCATAAGTGTTATCAGATATGCCGTGAAAGTGTTTACCAATTTATACCGCGTTTCTGTTTTTATTTGATAAATATTTTTTCGGTAGATTTCATCAAGAATCTAACATATCAAACTAAAATAGAACAATACATTGGTACTGTAGCATTAATTATTATCGTGGTATGTGTGTACATGTGTGTTTCTCGGTGTTCACACACGTTCACAATTCTACT